GGCAGCGTCCCCTGCAACATCTCCCTTAGCAGTGACGAGTGTGAAGGGGATGGCGACCAAGATGCCATCCCCACCAAGTCCCAGACAGATGTGACAGAATCCAAGCCAATCTTCCATGTTATTGAGGATGACTCATGGAAGCTTGTCTCCTCAGAACGACCCAAAAACAAGCGTGCTGTGGTGTATGTGGGCAATATCGCCACAGATAGCACTGAGAGCCACTTCAGGCAATTTATCAAAACCAGGAGTAAGTTTCTGGGCGCCTCCATTCCTGTCCACACCTGCAGTATATGGCTATCAGAAAGTGGGCGTGCTTCCGCAAGAGTGACCATCGATGCCACTTCACTCTCCACAGTGACAGCGCCCAACTTCTGGCCAAGGCCCGTATACTGCAGGCCATGGAGGTTCTTAGAAACCAGCTCTGAGGGCAGCACCAGCAGTCACAGCCACAGCAGCAGAAACAGCACCTCTGCCAGTGTTCTGACTAAACAGCAACAGCAACAACAGCAGCCGGGTTCAACGTCCTCCTCCTCCCCGCCGCCACCACCATCGCCGCCACCACCACCGGCAGGCTTCATCTCCACTCCACTACACAGTGGCCAAAAACGGAGAAACTCCCACCTCTCCCATACTGACCAACTACCACAATCTCAATCCCTTGACAAGACATGCAGAATCCCTGGATTTCTCTCAAAATACCTGGATGGCACAAAAACAAGTGAAAAAGAGCTTTTCCCGCCAAAAAAACGTTCGACTCTGCAGCTGTGCGTACAGCACAGATCGACCCCCCTTCGCTTTCTTGTTATTGGGCAACTTGCCCGTTAGAATCTGCGAAGTAAAATAAACAACAACAACAACCCTAGGCCATAGGCTGTACGAGAGCTCGTAGACGTAGTGCAGTTTGATCAGTCGGCGCCCGCCTGTCACTTTGTCAGTGCAGATCTTGCAGGCATGGTCAGGTCTTCAAAGTGCTGTGCACTGTTCGAAGCAGGGAGTAGTACAATAACCGGTATTGTACTACTCCCTGGTTCGAAGTGCGAATGAGCACCGTACATACCTTTGAAAAAAGTTCAAAAAACCGGGACATTCGGGCAGAAACCATGGAGTTTCCTAGAAAATCCTGTATCAGACAAAACTTTGGTTTTTACGGGAGTTTTCTTGAAATCCCCGGGACCCCGGGAAGAGTGTTGATTTTCCGGGATTTTCCCGGGAAAAACGGGAGGGTTGGCCAGTATGCTCTCCCCACCAGAGGCTGGAGACCTGAAGAGATCAAACGGATCTGCGCCACAACATGACCAGCATGATGCGCAGCCACCCCAGCAGGATGCCCAGTCCTCTCATGCCCAATGATAGATTCCAGACCTCTGCGACTGCTAGTGACTAATGCATTCAGCCTGAGCAACAAGATAGGTGCCCTGCAGCATGCAATCCTGCAGTATAATGTAGACGTGGCAATAGTAACAGAAACGAAGCTCTGCTCAGATAATTCCTCCCATGAGTTGACCATCCCAGGATACTCACCCCCTATAAGGAAGGATCGAGATGCCCATGGTGGCGGTGTGGCAGTGTGGGCTAGGAGTGAACTATCCATTACCCACCACGACGATATAGATTGCCGTGATCGCGAGCTCTTATGGATTTCCCTGGCAATGCACTCCGGAACAAAGACTGTTCTGGGTGCGCTCTACCGGCCTGGCTCTTGTGCAGAGACAGACACCAGCCTGATGGACTACCTAGACAACACTTTGGATGATGTCCGCCGTCTTGGCAGCAATGTGATAATTGCAGGGGACTTCAACGTGCATAATTCAGCCTGGCTACAGAGTAGCAAGACTACCCGAGCCGGTGAATGTCTGGAGGAAGTCTGCGCAGCACATCATCTTGTCCAGCATGTCACCCAGCCAACCCGCGGCAACAATACTCTCGATCTTATCATCTCCGATTTCCCACACCCCGTATGCACCACAGCCTATGCACCACTTGGACGATCTGATCATGCCGTTATCATTGCCGAGTTTCTCCAACAGCATCCACGACGCGAAGATCCTGCTGTTCGACAGGTTTGGAAATACGCCCTTGCTGACTGGCACCGCCTGAGAGCCTACCTCCGCAACATAGACTGGCCCGCCAAGATCCATGGGTGTGCGGAGCAGTCCTGTCAGCGCGTAACTGATGTCATCATGCATGGAATGAAACAGTTCATACCATCCAAAAAGCTTGTGGTGCACCAATCCAACCCTGTATGGTGGACACCGGACTGTTCTAACGCCAATCATGCCAAGGAGCGGGCATGGAAGCTGTGGCGACGCAATCCCCGCAACGATAACCACAAGGTCCAGTACATCACAACTGTTAACCACGAAGTCGAAGCGTGTCATGCAGCGCGATTAGCACATCAACGTAGAATTCGCAACAAGCTTATTGCAGGTTCCCTCCGGGACAAAGAGTGGTGGTCAACCATCAAGAGCGCAGCAGGCAAGGGACGTTGCTCTGACATCCCCCTGCTGACCAACCCTGCAGGACAAGAGTTCCACTCTTCTCGTGAGAAAGCCGAGTGCTTTGCAGCGCATTTTGCGAACAAGTGTAGCCTTGGCAATAACGACCTCTGTGCTGCTGACCTGCCTGACCTGCAACGACCTGCCTATGCCACGCTAAAGCACATTCACTTCCGCGCAGCAACGGTCAAACGGCACTTGGCGAACTTGGCTGTATCAAAAGCAACTGGACCGGATGGCATCTCTGCTCGTGTGCTCAAGATGTGCTCATCTGAACTTGCAGACCCACTGGCAAAGCTCTTCGCCCTCTGCTTCTTAGCCGGTGTGCAACCTGGGGCATGGAAACTTGCCCATGTAGTCCCAGTTCACAAACGGTCCTCCAGATCTTTGGCATCTAACTACCGACCAATATCACTGCTAACGATCATGTCGAAAGTCATGGAGGGCATTGTAAACACGCAACTGGTTAACTACCTAGAGAAGCATGAGGTGTTGCCAAACAGCCAGTTTGGATTCCGACGTGGTAGAGGAACCGCAGATATCTTAACAGCTCTCCAACATGAATGGGTCCACACCATAAGTACTGGCGGTTGTGTCCAGGTCCTCGCTGTGGATATTGCCGGTGCGTTTGACCGGGTATCGCACACAGGAGTGCTGTACAAAGCAAAGCAGGCCGGCGTCGACGGACGCCTGCTTGTTTGGCTACAGGACTACCTCACTAACCGAAACATCCGCGTTGTGGTTGGAGGCCAGACGTCAAATGCTCAACCCATCCAGGCTGGTGTCCCCCAAGGCAGCATCCTAGGACCCAGCCTCTTCCTTCTATACACCTGTGACATTGAACAATGTTTAACTCCAGGAACGCAGCTGAGCAGCTTTGCAGACGACACCACACTCTACAGCTTAGTACAGCCAACTGACGATCTCCAACAGTCCACCGCCTCCCTCCAAGGGTCCCTCAACAGTCTTGAGGAGTGGGGCCGCAAGTGGCGTATCTGTTTTGAGCCAGCCAAGACACAGCGCATGACTCTACATCGCAAGCACGTTCCCCCCCCTGCACTCCACCAGTCACCTTTGGAGGTGAAGCACTCCAGGAGACAGATACCCTGAAGCTGCTGGGAGTCATGCACGACCCTACTCTCTCCTACAGAGCGCACACTCGCAGTGTTGCACTGCGCGCCTCCCAAAGGCTGGGTTTCCTACGAAAGCAGCACCCATCCTGGACGACCATGGTCGAGTGACGGTCTACAAGGGATTCGTGCGACCCCTACTTGAATATTCCCCACTGGCCTGGTCGAGCGCAGCCGCAACTAACATGGCCCAGCTGGACAAGGTTCAGCAACGTGCCCTGCATTTCCTGGGACCTGGAACCATCCTCCAAAGTCTTCAGCTTCGTCGGATGGTGGCAGCCCTGTCATACTTGTTCAAGCTGCACTACATTCCAGGGCCTCCCCAGGTAAAGGCCATGCTGCCACCAACCAAGCCCCCTGCCGTAGCTAGCATGTGCACACGGCAAAAACGTCAGACGCACCATGCCTTTCAGCTGAAGTGAACACCCCCTCGCACAGCCCCTGACTACCTCCTGCGATCCTTCCCCTTCTTCGCCATCACACCCTGGAACAACCTGCCTGCGGACCTCCTGCTTCACGAGCCTCATTCAAGACGCCTCCAAACCTTCAAGGTCAACGTATGTAAGGATCTAATCCGAAAGAGATGGCTGTGGTCCACACAGTATCTGTGACGATGATAATTATTGAGATTTGAGACCCATTTAGTATTTACCTCTCTACTACTACTTGTTTTTTATGATTATTGTTCTCTTTCTTCATTTTCCCTTCTGCTTTAGTCATTACACGTATTTATAATTATTATTTGGTGCAATACTAGCGCCCCCTTCTCGCACCAAATTATTATTTTTGCTACCTGACCATGCACCCCCCCCCTTTTTTTTCGATGCCAGGTTGCAACGCTAACGCCGAGACCCCTGGTCGGTCGAGTTGCTCCCTGTACATCGGCACGTCGTCCCTACATCCCCTGTGTCTTGTCTTGTGTTTGTCTCCACATGTCTCTTTGTAGGGCTGTGTTCCCAATAAAAAAATATAAAAAAATAAAAATTAGAAAGTCATGCATTTTGATGTAGCCGCAGCTAGCAGCAGCTGTATCCCAAGCAAAATTTAATATTCATGGCGTTTGGTCCTTTTGAATTTTGTGTTATTTTGCCATACATGATTCACCATAGCAACGGTTGTCCTAACCCCGCCTAGTTACCATGGTTACTACATTCTAGTCTTGTTGGTTGCAGAGACTCTGCGAATCTGACGTGGCAATGAATGCATGCCCCCCCCCCGGCCAGAATGAACGCGCCAAACCGTCTCTGTCCGTAACGACCTTCGATCGGACCGACCCACCGGTAGATCTACATAGCTACGCGGTAGCCCCAGTGGCCCCACTTCCCAACGGCCCAAGCCAGGTCACTACGGAAATCATCATTCTTTATTCATAGCTTTTCCCGTAGCGTCTTCACAGTCTGTACCTGGTACGGTGTGTGTGTGTGTTTGGCGAAGACGCAGTTGTTACCGTTCATCTGCGAAGAAGAGGTACAGCTCTATTGTGTTTGATAGCAGTTTTGTACACTGTAGTCTCCTGGGCAGCATATTATATCCTTGTCCCAGAGCCAGAGAAAGTAGACCTGTTCAGTATCATCTACTAGTACATGTACTGGAGAAATCACTGGCGCCAGTGTCGGTTCGTGTGTTCATCGGTGACTAACGAAGTCTGGACGACCACGTAACATCGTTGTTTTGTCTCGAGTCAGAGTGATGCGTTGATGATAAGCCACTAGTGCGACTTGTGCTGGAAATACGAAGCTGCACTGTATCTGCAGCTATCCAGTGTATCCGCAGTGTTCACGGCAAGGTACAGTGCAAGTATAAGCTCAATAAAACTGCTATGTATAAGCTAGAGGGGTAGTCTTTGAAACCTTCAAGCAGTACGGTCAGTTATTGCTAGACATGCAAGATGGGTTGGAGTTATCCTATGTGAAGAGTCTATTTAGATTTGTAAGACGTGAAGAAAATCCGTGGTAGTGGTACAAGGCCTCGACCAAATATGCTAAAAAAAGAGCATAATAATTATTATGCTCGTCGCATATCAGGGAAAACAGCCATAATATGCCAAAGGCTTAGCAAGATATGCAAAAAGATATGCCAAAATATGCCAAAATATGCTCGACATAAGCAGAAAGTGTAGATCATTTCAGTAAAATTACAACCTTGGAATATTCATTGGCTTCACGGCTATCATGCTTATGGTGCAAATCAAAACAAATGCGGAATAGTATGGCTGGGGTATGTCCCCAGCAACCGTAGCGATAGTGTTCATCCATGGGGAAATGTAGCAAACGCCTCAACCATTCCAAATTCATCCATAAAAGGCATTTCTGAACGCATTTTGTCCATTATGAATGTTTTGTCCTCATTTTCTTCAGAATATTTGCATTATATGCTGGCTTCATTCCAATATTCCCTTTGTCGCTCAATATGCCATATGAACTGTCTCACAAAATATGCAGAAATATGCGCAAGCATATTTGGTCGAGGCCTAAGTGGTACCCAGCAGTGTTGTACATCGAATTCATTCCAACGTACATGATTGTAGTACAACACGGCAGCAGGGAAAATGACAAACGTAAATACATTGTATAACATTGTGCTTCACAGAGGCCAGCGAACTTCTGGGGGAAGTTGACGCCATGCTAGAGCAGAGTTTTCACCATATCAGGCTTCTATGCTTTCCTCAAACCGGTGAAATACTTTCCTATGTAACGTTACTTGCATATCCATCTCTATTATGTCACTGAACCTAAAATCTCTTGTCATACACACAGCGTTTACACAGAATGATAGTTTACAATGAATGCAGCGAATGGAATTTTGAGTATTTCACCTCTTTGGTTCTGGGTCTGATCTACTCACCCGCCCACCACAACTGCACCTTGATCCTACAGTTGCAGAGGGTGGTGGCGTTCCTGCGGATGCGGAAAATTCGTCTGAGTATCACGTGAACCTTGAATATCTTTTACCCATGATGTAGTGCAATGATTGTGTGTATATATGAACAGTAGTGGTATAGAACAGCTTCGGCTCCACAATCCAGTGTGTCGTTTCTATAATAGCTTTCATTGCTGAGGTTGTTGGTATGTCTGTTGGCTCTAGATTCCCAGTACTCAGTAGCCGAGGCTGGTTGGTAAAGTAACTCCAATTTCACTTCAAGGTACCAGTGCATCTAGTGTCTGCTTCTATCAAAGCAGCGTCCCATAAGTCTATCATTCATAGTATGCCCCCTTGGCCCGCACAGTCCATGTCGATTCCGAGACCGAAATGGTCGGAGGAGTGCACTGCGCCTGACCAGCACAGCTCTTGTAGCACCTACTACTCCTTTGTTGTCTTTGTCTCTTTTATTACCCCTATTACTTTGTAGGGATGTGCACATAGTATATAAAAAAATAAAATAAAAAAGCGTGCTGTCTATACTGGTTTCCCCAGCAAGTGTAGGGTGTCCATAGGTAACTGTCTTGGCCGTTTTATGCTGATGTACTCCGTGTGGTGTAGACCAGGTGTGTATTGGTGGTCGATTCTCATGGCTTCGCCGGTTGTGTGGATTAGACAGTTATCTGGCGCAAGTCTTGATCTGTCTCTTTCAGATCTTGTTCGCTATCGTTGCTATAAGAAAAAATCTGTGGGTGCACATCCAGTGCATTTGCAGATTTGCGTGCTTCTCTTGCGACAGGAGTATACATGGTACATGGTATTGTGTTACACTGTACAGCCGGTATTCTGGTTGATTGTCATTCATACTTGAATTCTCTTTCAGCAAATTCATCGACTATCAGAAGAGGCATATTCTTGTTTTTCTGTTTTGTATAACTTTGTGTTTAGAACAATGCCGTTTGACTTCTGGAATGATGTTGTCCTGCCAGCATGGCATGACATAGCTCGATGCAAGATTACACATGAAGCATTGAAGAAGGTAGTCATGGCAACTGATGAACATCATCCACGTATCAGTAGAGATCCTATGCTGAGGAGACATGTGATGGCTTGGAAGAAGTTTATTAAAACCAACGAAAGGAGGTCAGAAAAGGATAGGTTAGCCTGCTATGTTGCCTGTGTTACTTGCTACAAGAGAGGGCAATCAGGTGTCCAGAACTTCATTCAAGACATTCAGTCTTCAACTTTCCCGTCCAATGTTGCTGTTGGTGGAGTGCTGGAGAGAATTTGGCAAGCTCGTAAGAATGACCATCCTGATGAAGATGTGACGGATCCATGTGAGTATTAAGGAGGAGAGTAGTGCCATGATTTCATGGTATTTTGTATGTAAAGTTCATACTTCATACACGTGGAATTGGACCGTTAACGCACTCTCCACATACAGGCATGCACCCGGCTCAGAACGCATTGTTTTCTGGTTGGCATATCAGGGATATTGGGCGGAGCAGCTGGCGTGCATGGGAAAGACAGGTCGGCCTGCTCTGCGCAGAAGCTGTGACCCGGTGCACACATAGTGTGTGTGAGAGAGAGAGACAGACAGGTCGGCCTGCTCTGCGCAGGAGCTGTGACCTGGAGCACACAGAGTGTGAACGAGAGACGGTCAGCCTGCCGTGGGCAGGAGCTGCGACCGGTAGTGATTGAAATGAGCCAGCTGCGGAGATAGACTGCCCTCACCCGATATAAGTATATTGACAAGAGTTGTACTGACACTGTGATTGAGGAAATTATGGTGACAGTGACGGAGAGATAGTGATCCCCAGTCGAATGGGGTTGGGAGGGAAGGGGAAATTGACAACTGACGGACAAACCAGTGAACAGTCAAGTCGTCGGAAAGCAAAAGTGACAAAGGAGTCTCCCTTTTCTCTTTCTCTCTCTCTAAAGCAAGATTTGGAAAGCACGCGTGGGAGAGTGGCGCGCGCTGCGCCTGCGCATGTATAGCAATGACATCATAATCAGATGCATGATCATCAGACTAAGTATGAGTGGTAGATGTTCCACGTTCATTAACAGGGCTTAGCGCACACGCTAAACCACCATCACACTTGTTAGCTGCTCTGGCAATCCAATATTTTCCCTAAGCACTCTCAGAAGACTATCTTGTAGTCTCATGAGTATTACTATGAGAAGAAGTATTGGAAGACAGGAACCACTGGAGCATGCGCTCTTCTATAGTTGATGGAATAATATGAATATTTGTGCAGAGCTTGAGTACCATGCAACTCTGAGTTGAGATCTATTTTTGTTCCAATGGATTTCTGCTGAAATACTATGGAGAGGCTGGTTCGGGAAAAGTGCTCTGCTGGTCCTTAGGCTGTGACGTGCTGTTGTTTAGAATTTGATGTTGTGCCCGCAGCCAATTTATGATTGCTTTTACGCCGTACGAGAGTAGAAAAGCCTTCAGATTACTCTTGCTAGGTAGATCGTGTCTCTCAAGTACACACTGATCCTGCCAGCAATGAGAATGTGGCCAGTTTAAGGTCGCGTGACAAACTTATACTATGGAAAAGATATGCGCACATTGCGGTGGGGTGGCGAAAGTATGAAGATGACATTCAGACAAAGACAAAAAAGCGGCGACAAGTTTCGGTAAAGTGTGTACACTGGTGGGCCAGAAGACGGTGCAGCAGCATGTACAAAGGGGTGACAAAAACACAGCAAAAACGCAGCAGCAGGCCGCAACAGAGTGATACTAACGCAGCAGCATATACAACATACCTATTTGTATACAGCATATTATTTCCTAGTGTGCAGGTCAAATGCAGTCTTTGTTATGGTAATACAGTGTATGTAGAGCCTATGTGGATATGGGTATACGTATAGCTCATGGCATTCCATGCTCTGATCAATTGACACCAGTTGTTCGACACCAGCAACTATATAGCCCAACTCAAGCTCTTGTGCTCAGCTGTGCCTTGCTATGCTTGTGGCACACCACGTGCACACACACACGGTGACACTGCATGCACACACACACACCACGTGCACACACACACACACACACACACACACACACACCACATGCACCTTTTTTGCCCTTTTGAGTTTTGACGCCCATCGCAGAGGCGATGATAGCGATGCTACAGCAGAAACCATAGCAACTTGTGCTGGGATTGCACCATTAAACAGCTTACAAGGCTGAAGAATTGACCGCCACTATTCTGAGCCTTGTCTACACCACACAGCTATTTGAAGAGGCCTTTTCTGGCCAGTGAATCCCTACTTTTTCGTTTTCGTTTTTTCCAGCACACATCACACCACATATTCCACCATGTACTGGCTGTTGGGACTGACCACCCAGGATTTTTCATACCACGTGCACACACACACACACACACACACACACACACACACACACACACACACACACACACACACACACACACACACACATACACATACACACACACACCAGACACACACCAGACACACACACACACACGCGTGCACACACACGCGCGCACACACGCGTGCACACACACCACCACCACCATGTACCACACACACACACACACCAGACACACACACACACACACACACACACACACCTCATACCTCAGACCTGCCCATCGCGAAAGCGATGATAGCGAACAGCTATATTAGACATAGCAACTTATGCTGGAATTACACCACTCAACAGCTTGCAAGGCTGATGAATTGACCGCCACTAATTTTAGCCTGGTATCCACCACACCACTTTGATCCTAGTCTGAGGGTGGTGGCGTTCCCACGGCTGATGCGGAAAACTCGGCTTCCAGCCGAGTCTCACGCGAACCGTGAATTTTTTTTATTTTTATCCACCACACAGCTGATTGAAGTGGCTTATTCTGGCCAGTGAATCCCTATTTTTCATTTTTCCATTTTTTAATT